ACCGTCGGGCTGTACAGTCTGCGTGGGAGCCACTATGGGTAATATGCCCATATTAGGCAGGGTATTGGCTGTAGCCGATCCATAAAAGGAAAATCAAGGCTTCATTGCCGAGCCGGATTCGGTGATATGGCGGCTATAAGATTATAGTGAGCCTCGAGAGGACACTCAGTCATCGGTCCAAAATATTGAGAGTTTGTGCCTTCTGGTTGTGCCCAGTTTTGCTTCAATGGGGGCATAATGTGTCATTTCAACACATGGTAACTTTTTTATACACAAATTGAAGCTATTTCACAGCTGGTTATCGACCCAAGCTCGAAATTTTTTCAAAACAACCCATTTCCTGTCTTTTGAGCCTTATAACTTCCACATCGAGATATCCGCTTGTCACTATAACGCAGGATCATATGGAATGACATTAAAACATAATTATCATGAATTTAGTTTGGTAGTTTTGCACCGGAAACGGCCACAAAAGACAGTTGTACATCCTGACGGTGGTGTACATTCTCACGGGGGATGACAGTACCTCTTGGCTTGTTGTTTCAAGCGGCTGTAGAGGTGGGACAGTCCCGCCAAAAATAATTGTTTGCCCGGTCCGTGGGACATGGGACGAGAAAACGGCCGAAAAAGTACAGTATATGGCATCCCCTTGCTGTGGTACAGATACTCGCTTTCCGACCAGCAACACTGTCGCATTTTTTGCGTTCTGTATGCATATGGCACTGGCATGGCAGGAAACGATCAGACGGACCTCGCATGGCAACTGGTACCGTACGCGAAGGTGTTCGTACTCGGGGACATGCTCCGTCCAAATGGAAGCTGGATGGACTGCGTATCCACTGTGTATTTTGGCAGGTGATTGTGAAAGTACAAAACTAACGCTTACACCATTCCCGCGCATGAGCACGTTTGCGTAAATATCAGAATCCTTTCCTGGAGGCCCCGTCAGCAGCAGTGGTGCAAGACTGAATGAGAGATTGGACACCTATTGCATTGCATATATTTTGTTAGTTCTTACTGATTTGTTTACTTATTTTCATTGTCATATAACTGGTATCTGCTTGGGCGTGTCACCGGATATGATTTAGCCGCACGGGAGGAGCCTCAACTGACAAGCTCCGCCGCACCGCTCAAGAACAACCCTTCTCGCAAGCCTTGGCATGTATTTTATGCCGACGCCTTGAATGGCGACAGCGGCAACAACCTTGCGCCAAAGAACCAGGTGGTGGTGGATTAAGGGATTCAATAGTATGTCTGTATATTGAGTAGACCAATCGCTCGTTGTGTAGAAACACATAAATGACATCGTATTTGTCCGCTTTATTGTGAAATAATCGTTAAACTTTGCAATCAAAGCTATTGGCTACGTGTTGAACCCTACCTTGTTGCCTCAAGAGCCATGTCAATTGGACATAAGAAAGTACGACGAATCTTGCAAAAAGTTGAGTATATTCCAAAGGCGTATGCTATGATGCGTAAAAACTATGTAAATACGGGCACGGATTATGTGCGTGATTTTCGCGTATCTCCTCTCTCATAAGTGACGACCACTCGGACCACCCCGGGCCTTGATCTATCCTAGAACCTTGGGTTTTTGACTGAAACTCCAATGTTCCCACTTGATCCAATAAGCTCCTGGCGCTCCGTAGTTGGTTCGCTGAGTCCTGAGGCACATTCAATTTGCTGTGCTTGGCTTGCGCTTTTTCAAAACGTAAAACACACGGTGTCGTACTCACATAGTGCATTCTGTGGCGCTCTGTATTGATTGTTGGGTGGTGTACGTTTGCTGCAAAGCTTCCATAAAACCTCTCGATTTGATATGGATTAAGGTACTTCATCACATTGTCGTACTACCTTCAACGTAAGCTTGACTGTGTTCTATTTACGACTGTTTGCCTATTGCATTGGCATGCAGCACCGGTGGCGTTTTTTCATGACGTTTGCGTGATGCTTTTCCGTAGTGTTCGGCACTGGATGCATTATCCACGGATCGAGTTTGGTGTGTTCTGAGGCAGTGATCTTAAATAACATAATTAGTAAGGAAGTGCTTTGAGGTTCTCTGTTTTAGGATTATCCAACTTCGCACTTGCGAATATCTGAGCGTGACCGAAGGGGCCGACCTTGTTTTACTGTACCTTTTCGACCTTACACCATGGGCAAAAACAAATATTATGGCACGAAAAACGGTTCGAAAAAGGCTCATAATGTTGTACTATTCTGCTACTACTTGACGAGTGAGAAGAGCACGAGAAGGATTCATTTTCGATGTCTGTTTGGCCTTATAAAAGGTTGTGACAACAAGACACGCGTCGCTGCGCTCCGGCCTTTAAATGTTTACCGTTTGATGTCAGAAGAAACTAAAGAAGGTTATAAAAATGATGTCAATAACGTTATATCACATTGAAAACCTACAACATGTTGATGGACATGACACAGAATGCACAGCTTACGGAACACCTGCCTAGAAAAGTATTGACAGTGCTATGTATACAGCAGTATGCACTGACGCAAACTGGACGCTCTGATGCGACGTCGGATTCAGGCGTGGGCATGAGCTCGCAAAGCTTAGAGCGCTGGATGATAGTGGTAGACAGGAGGCATAACAGCACGGGCTCGGTATTATTGGGCTATCTTGTACCAGGTATGAGAGAGGGCGGACTGGGCAATGGGGCCCAAGATGGCCGTGGTCGAGTACCCGTTCGCGGGTGGCGAGTTCGGGTCTGTGATGGATGTTCTAAGAAATGGAGATGGTACTTATGAGGCAGGGTACCAGATTCTGCACCTGAGGTGACGGAAAATGACGGGCTAATATCGGTGAGTTTAGATGGTAGAGAGCTTGAAGGACGTACCGATTACAATCTCGAGGACCCACGGGTATAAAAGCGGACCGTGGTAGAAGGAAACCGGGAAGATACCTTCACAGGTGGGAATACCATAGAGGAAGATGTCAAAATTGGCGAGTCCGGCGTGGTTGATAACGAGGTACTCGGGATTTTCATGGATGATACATTAGCATTGATATGTTACCCGTGTTATGTGTACTCTACCCAGATCACCTTTTCGTTTCCTGGCACATCACTCATCCTCCTTACCGAATTTTGTTTAAACATCCAGATTACCCTGATACTCCTCATGTAACCCGTATACTCCAGTCAAACTCCAGTACTTTCTTGCGTCATTACCTGGACAACCGACTGACTTGCCGGAGTTCTAGCAGCTACTATGTACGTATATCACCCGGCATACTTATGCCATGAAGTCCCTAGTCCTCATGGATAAACATACCCTGCTTGATTTGATGCTCTCGGATTGGGTGTAATGCCGATAGAAATCGTGGAAGGCATTCATTGGGTCATGAACATATTTCACCTTGAGATTGACGCGACACGGTAGGAAACCGTGAGAAAGATGAGCCACTGAGCAGAACAGCCGAGACGCGGCGACAGAATCAGCCAATCAGATATAAGCTTTGTCTCTTGACAATCAATTAATCAAGCTCAAGTTCCAGCGGGCCTGTGGGAAAAAAACCTCTCTAATTATATGTAGAATATGTAGAATGTAGAATGTAGAATTTCAATCGGAGCCCACCAAGGCACGTGGGTGGTACGAATGCCAGCCTCGGTGACATGAAGTTGAACCAAGACCAGCCTCTTGTGGTAGCGGGGATTGTATTCTCCAAGGTCGGAAACACATGAAGCAAGAACAGTCCACAGATGATGTGAGTCTAAATTCCCTCCAATCAATTACTGGATGCATCTGATCATGAGCGAGGCTCTACAAAGCATCTCATCGTTCGGCAACATCACGTTGCCAGAGATGATACAGTGCAGTCTTTTGGACGACTTGAACGTGCCTTGGGGATCACATAGCTATGTGGACTCATCCGAGAACATGTTCCATGTGGTATCCAAAGAAGGGGATACTATGAAGAGTGCTCGGGCACCGATGAAGTACCATCAGGTCTTGCATACGTTGAGCTACAAGATTGAACTCTACAAGGGTATCCTCAACCACCTTAGGGGCGAAGAAGTGATCAACGTTAATCCTTTCAAGCTCACTTGCACACAAACGCGAGTTTGTGTGCTCATTTTCTACCTCTTTCAGGTCCGCGATGAATACATCGCCGAGATGGAAGACCCTTCGGCTGACAGAAGCCCAACACTTGAGTATCACGTTTGGCTTCACTACACTGGCGGATCATTTAGTTGTAAGGCGGCCCGAGACTTACAATCACTTCATGGAGTCACCTTTGATGTGGTCAAGTCAAATGAGCGATCCATCTTTGACGAAAGTAAGTGCCAACTCGCATTCACGCAT